TGGAGCCTACTACAATTAACCCCCCCACCTCGTAATAGCTCATCTAAACTAACAATTATTAGCATGAACTTCGTAAAACTATACTTACATTACTTTGTATTGATAGAATATAAGTTCTCATAAGAGAGTTGAACTAATGTAGCAGCTAACCAATTTGACAGATTTCATTCTGTTTACTTCTTGATATATCAAAATTATATATCTTTTATAAAATACTAGCTACAATATGAGGCCCCTGAACTTTCAGGGCCTGTGCAATAGGGTTACTTGCACAGGACCTTAGACGGGCCTGTTCATAGATACACCATCAATAATTCTCCAAACATAGAGCAAAAAGACACATCAGGCAATTGTTTAATAAAATTCACATAGAACTCATGAACTGGTTCTTTAACAGTTTGTTTGGGTAATGTCAAGTGAAGGAAGGAAAGGGAGGGAGGTGAAGGGGAAGGAAGAAGGATGAATTTTCCTTCTAAATCTCTCCATTGTTGCAAGGGTCATTGTTCTAGAAATTAGTCCCTCTTCCGATTCCCTTTCTCCCTAATTTTTTATCCAAATGAAAGAAACTCCCTCCCTCCATTTCCCTTCCCCTCCAAATGAAAGAAAAAATGCTCACTTTGTGCAGTTAAATAAATATATATAGTGCAATTGAATAAATATGAATATATAATAAGCAGTCGTACGGTACAACTAGTTTAAAGAAAAGGAAAAATTGAAATAAATAGTCCAAACTTTGATCGGTCTTCCATAAACAGTCCCAACTATTATTTATCCAATATTAGGCCATACTTTGACAAGTGTTTGATAGGAGTAGGTCTAGCAACAAATTTACCTACTACTATAGGTAAATTATGGCACATGATGTCACATGACTAGTTTTTAATTTCTAAAAAAATTAATTAAACCTTTTTTTTCTTTTTGCACCAGCCACACCTCTCAAGTGCCTCAACTCCCTTACTACCATTCCACCACCGACATACCCCCATCAATGAACCAACTACCACGTTCCTTCACATCACCAACACCACCACCATCACCAGAGACCAGCCCAGCATAGCAACCGGAGCCTCTCCTAGCCACACATGCGACCCAAACTAGCAACTTTGAACACGGGTACAATGCATCCACCTAAAATCAACTAGGTTCCACACCACTGCTCCTTATCTACGACGTCGATCCCCTTGCTCACTTTCCACACAATGACACAACAGCAACAAAACTTTAATATTATTTGGAAAAAAAAAACTTGCTCTAATTGAATCGAAATTTTTTAATAATTGGAAAATGCTTAATAAAAGAATTATTCTAGAAGTGAGGGCTTGTTCTTTGATTTTTTTCAATCAAAGAAGAATAATACACCTTAATAAAGAGAGTAATGGATGATTTTTTTTCAAAATTAGTTTCTAGTAATTTATACAAAATTTTAGCTCAAATTCAGATAGCTGAAATGTTAGATCAATGATTATATCAAATAAAATTATTAAATGGAATGTTATAAAATTATAAAAAGAATATTATGTTAATAATTCTAAGATGAAATTTTAGAGAGGGAAAGCATGACATAGGGGATAAAGTATGTTAGCTATGGTGGTGGTGAAGGAATTTAATGGAAGAAGGTAAGTGAAGGAGAAAAGGAAAAAACGAAAAAGGAATTGAAAAAAATTGGTTTGACCCCTTATTAAAAGTCACATATGAAGAAATATTATTTATATGGAGTCTTGCCTCTCCTCTTCTCTTCTCTCCTCTCCTCCTCTCTTCTAGGATTTCTCCAAATTCTTGGTCGTTTAGGCAAGAAATAGTCTAATTTCTTCCGAAATTAGACTATTTCCAACCCTTTTCCCTTAATTTCCTCTAGTTTTGCAATTTAGTTTTCAATAAATCTACACGACTAGTGTAGATTTTTGTCCGTTTTCCTATGTTGGAGTGTCTCCCTATGGCGGAGTCGTTAATTTTTGTTAGTTTTGTTGTTTGTTTTTGCTTAGGGTTTTTTTATGTGTTAAGGTTTATTAAGAAGGTAATCATCTTTTGCCATATTATCACTTCGTTGGTAAAGTGTTGTCCAACGGTTGTCAGATCTTCAAAGGTGTTTAAGTGAATCAAATGAAAATTATCCTTACGGCTACAACAAATCATTAGGCCGTCTCTCCGAAAGGCTGTATATTCCAGCGATGTGTGTGAGAGATGTACCACATTGCAAGATCTATTTAATGATCGTAGCTTTGATGAAGGAAATCCTTATCTGATTCAATTTAATGTATCCGTTAATTTAGATTTCATTTGTAGGTGTCGTATGGCTTTTGATTCATGAATTGGTTTGTTTCAAAAAAAAAAAAGTCATGTGTGAAGTACATGATTATTTTTACCTACTACTCCAGGTTAAAAGGTAATAAGGTCCAATATTTTCAACTACATATTAAATTTTGACCTATTCTAGGATAAATCATAGTTGGAACTATTTATAGAAGATATGTTTCGGGTTAAAAAAAATACTCAGGTCACGTGGCCCAACAAGAGGGTGACACGTGTCACCTTAAGAACTGTTCAAAATGAACCTCTCCTCAGCTGACATGTGGCACTCCCAATCAGTGGGAAAATGACGGCCTTCAGGGCCCAATTCCCTAGACTCCCTCTAAAACGGTGCAGCCCATCAGTCTTAGGTTTGCGTAACCTAGGATAGGGCACAAATCCCAATGACCTTATATATAGGAAGATTTACCCCACTTTGGGAACAACATTCAATGATTACATAATCAATTCTCTCGAAAATAGAGAGAAACACCTGATCTCGAAATCCGAGAAGATTTAACTTTACTTTCCGCACCATTTTACATTCTCCGTACACGTTCTAACTTGATCGTCGGAAGCGGAACTCCACCCAACCGGAGTCTCCGTTGTTTTGCATGTACAGGCGCCCGGAGACTAGACTTAGTGACATAACTCTCCCAAGGGAAATAGAAAACCCCGAAGCAAGATCAATCAAAGTTGGGACCATTTATTTTAATTTTTCCTTAAGAAAATAATTACCATAATCTATAATACAACCATAACATCTATAATGATTCATAGTAAAATGGTTTTCCTCAAAAATAAATTCATAGTAAATTAGTAATGTATGCATGAGATCCTTTAATTTAATATATGCTAGAGAATTTTATGCAATTCTACTTATAACATCAAGGAAAAACTCACACTACTAGCAAGCCTAATTATAGATACTTTTCTTTAATAAAATCTCAACTATTGATTAATTCATGGCGGTCCTAACTTTAAAGGGGGGGTCCTTCTTAAAACAGTCCTTAGCTTATTATAATCAAGTAAAACATTTAAAATTACCACGTGTTGAATTTGTATTGTTCAGTTTTTACAAAAATTACCTTCACATCCTAGTCATTGATTTACCCAAGTTTTCATATATACCACCTACCTTCCTTATCATCATTCAACATCCTTAGCTATTCCCACCAAATAACCCACAAACCAAGCCATTTACGCTAGACCAAAATCACGACGAGAGTGGTGGACTGTAGGCATAGGGTTTCACAGACACAATGGTTGGTTGGTAGCTTAGGTCGGGGTTTGTCGTGGTTGGCCCACAAGTAACATGAAAATGGTTACAAGGAGAGGTGGGTGTTTATAATGATGGACGAAATTTCTATTTTATTTTTTTAACAACGCTGAGGAAAACAAAACATATGACACACTATTAACCGATCAAACCAAACTAAAGCATGTTAAGGATCAATTTTGGAAGGACCTCACTAAAGTTAAGAGCGTCCTAAATTAATCAACGGTTGCGACCTTTCAAATAAGACCAACCATACTTAGGACCACTAGCATTGTCAAAATGGTTTGATAGTTCGATTTTGGTTCGATTTTGAAACTGGTTCGGTTTGATTTAAAATAAGTCGGTTTGAAATTGGTTCAATTGGCTGACGGGTCGGTTTTGGTTCGGTTAAAATTAATATCTCTTTGGTTTGGTTTTGATTTATTTTTGATCGGTTTTAATTCAGTTAGGCTCATGAACCGACCGGGTAGTAAACAGTTTGGATAATAAATGAGTCGGTTTGGGAACGGGTTACCCGGGTTCAAACAAGTACAAATTCATATTGATTTAGATCATATATAATTCAGATAATAAACGGGTTTGGATCATAATCGGGTTGGTTTGAAACGGGTTGATTTGGGAAGCGGGTTTACTCGGGCTAATGTGGGTTTGTGTTCAAATTGGTTTGGGTTGTAAACGGTTCAAATAGTAAACAATTCTGGTTAAAATCGGGTTGGTTTGAAACAAGTCGGTTTGTGATTAGGTTTACCTGGGTTCATATCGGTTTAGATTAAATTAGATAGGTTTAAAACGGTTTATTCCATAACGGGTCGGTTTAGGTCAGTGAAATATAATAAATGAACAGGTTTAGTTCAATTTCTTTTTGGTCTGGTTATAATTGGATTCTAAGCTATTTCCGGTTAGCAAGTTTCATTTTATTATATTAAGTCGAGACTTTGTCACTTCATTTTTAGGCATTATATTGTATACAAATCCTCATTGATTCTATATATATCATGTTTTTATTTCAAGGAGCTTACTCCTTGAGTAAAACTAATCACATAGCAACTATTTATTTAGGATAATGCATATAGGAAGACTAACTGGTGAATTCACTTGACATTGGATATTTTTTTGTAATTTTTTATGGTTACAGTGATATTTTTAATGTACCATTACACATGTATTTTATACTATTAGAGTATATGTTGTGTTAGTAGTATTATTTATAGATAACATTGCTACAATATTTGATGTAGAATTTATATACTTATCTGTACCACTAAAAATACCATTTATAGTAATAAAGCATTTAATGGTACTTTATACCAATATTTATATTTACAACTCATCCACCACTCATTATTCTTATTCATGCTATTTACAAGGCAAGTAAATAGCAGCTATGCGTCAAAGAGTTAATCTATCTCCTTAGCTTCAACCTATGTTTTTATTTCAGTCTTTTTTAATGCTTTCTGCAAATTCATATTGGCTTTGTCAGACAAACTGAAGTATTTTAAAAGGGGATTTATTCTCCTAATGTAATGCTTTCCTTCTTGCGTGAAAAAAATAGGAAAATTTAACATAAACAGACAAACCTTTGGGCGGTTCTCTCATATTGGACTAACCTTTAAATCTGCCCATATTCAACACAAGTTTAACATTTTTCTCCGATAATGGACCAAACAGGTAAGGTAACCTGGCCTGTTGTACCCGGTTTGGGGATGACGTGGCACTTACCGTTAGGGTTTATTTCTTTTATTTTTTTTTTAATTGTTTTGTTTTAAAAAGTAATGGCTTTTCTCTTTCTTCAACAAAATTGCTTGAGTCTTTAAAATCCTATCTTTTTAATTTGTCAGCAATAATAGAGAGGACAAAGCATCAAATTGCTACGTCAGGGTCTTCTTCATCAAGGGGGGGGTCATTTGGGAGGATTAAATGTAATTGGGGAAGAGATGCGGTTGTGCGATCGGTGAAAAATGATCCAAATGTGGGGTTGAAGCTCCATGGCTGCCCATTATGGCCTATAAGAATTGAATTGGTTCATTAATTATCTCAATTATCCAATGTAATTAGGGTTTATATAACTAATTGTGGTTTGATGTACAGGATACAAATTGTGGTTTTTTTTAAGTGGATAGGTGTGAGAGATGAGGTTGATGATTTATGGTTTCAATTGTTTGAAAAAGAAACCACCATTGTTGAGTTAGAGATGCACAAGCAGATGCTCGAAGATAAGGTGAAGAGGGTGCAGCTGAAAAAGGAGAACTTGGAAGAAGATGTTCAAGAACTTAAGGGTAAAGTCAATCAAATGCGAATTAAGTTGATGAAGAGTTCAAGGAATGAGAGAAATTTTTCTTTGGCTTTGGTTTTCTCATGGGTTTTGTTTGGGATAGTGATTATGTCCTTCTAGTAGTAGACTGTTGTTGGTTGTTTGTTGGTTGTGTTCTAGTTGAATGTGTAGCTATTAAGACTAATGATTGAATAAAAAAGGCTTCCCTTTCTTTTGCTTAATTGTTAGCTATTTTTTTGTGTTAAAAAAATAAAAAATAAAATAAAATAAATAAATAAATTGTTCAACAAAATAGAAAAATTGTTCACTAATTAAAAGCAACCCTGAATTACACCGACACATTGTTGCCAAAAGAAGGCTTCATGAGTTCAGCTGGTATTGTCATACATCAGATGTGGGTTGTCTTAGTGGGATGCACATTTTTGCTGACTTGTGAAGGACCCTGGTTTACATCATATTGTGATGGACCCTAATTTATTGCAGAACCATCAGCTGCAAACAGCACTCCCACACCAACAGGAACCCTGGTCCTGCCACCCCTTGAGCCCTTGCCACCTCTTGATCCCCTGCCACCTGTTGATTCCCTTCCACCCCTTCCCTGTCCTATTGCAGATGTAGTGTTGCTTTGTCCACCGAAAGCTAAGCCAGTCCTCCCCCCCCCCCTCTTAAACCCCTGCCTCCTTTGATCATTCTACCACCCCTCCCAAGTTGGATGGGCTGTGTTGTAGCCTGATAATGTGATTAAGCCTCTGCATTAGTAGGTAGGTGTTGTGGTTGAGGTTGAGCTGCAGTTGCTTGCTTCTTGGTGGTAGGCTCACTGGCAGAGGAGGTTGGATTACCACACTTCCTTTTATTGTGGCCCTTCGATTGGCAATTACTGCATGTCATCTCCATCCTAGTCTTAGTGAGGTGACCAGGCTTTGAAGGATTTTCAAAGGGATCTTTGATCCTGTTTTTTCTAGGTCTGCCAGTCCCTATTTTAATTGGGGGAGGATCCAAAGCCCACTGAACTCTTGTCCGGTGTCTCTCCCCTTCACAAGGTGGAATTGACCCTACAAGATACAACAAGTTAGAAGAATATTGATAGGCGTGTCGCGTACCTAACAAAAATAAACCTAACTATTCCTCCTAACTATGTAGTCGGGAAAGTACGGTCGAATCCCAAGAGACTAAGTTTCACCTAATTAATTAGACTTAAGCAATCACCAAGCAAGTAACCAGTCAATATTGACTAACACTAATGACTAATATATTAAATAGCACAATTAATCTAGAGAAAATGATAATCAATGAATTAAAGCATCCAAGATCAAGCATTACCACGAATATAATCAATGCACGAATAACTCTACCCCCAATAAAAAATCAATTGACAAGAGGAAAAGCATTCCCCAACAATACCAAAGGTCTTTCCCGAGTTATCAATGGTTTCCCAAATCAACTATTAAGCCTATTTCCATGGAATCAAGCAAATAAGGGACATTAAACACAATACTTAACTTACTAATCATCCAATCATCTACTTCCGTGATGAACTTCAAACCCTTAATTGAAATACCAAAATCTCGTTAATACCCAACTTCCGTTGCGATAAGAACAAAGGGATGATAACAATACTAATTATTCCTAATCTAGCATTGGCATAAACACAATCAATTAATCATGTCAATTGGGATTATTATTGGAGAATTTAAAGATTCAATTCATGTATCAATCATATTCGGGTCTTGCAAGATCCCGGATTAAGGATCTACTCACACATATTAACGAAATAAAAAACAAGATTCAACAAAGAAAACATAATTAATGAGCAATGAAAAGTAAAAGCAAAGAGAATAGATAAATACCAATTTCTTCAAACCGATGCTCCAAGAAGTGTGTTCCCCTGTCACTAATCAACACATGTGGGATACTAAATCGGGGAAAAATAATTTTCTTGAAAAATTTACTTACCACATGAGCATCATTGGTTGGAGTAGCGATAGCTTCAACCCACTTTAAAACATAGTCAATAGCTACTAAAATATATCAATTTCCATGGGAAATAGGAAACGGACCCATGAAATCTATCCCCAACACGTCAAACAACTCGACCTTGAGTATGTTGTTTAGTGGCATCTCATGCTTCCTCAAAATATTACCTGCCCATTGACAACGATCACAGGCCTTGACATATAAGTAGACATCTTTGAACAAGGTTGGCCAATAAAAACCGCATTGCAAAATCTTCGCGGTTGTCTTCGAAGGACCTGCATGTCCACCGCACGGTAAGTCATGGCAATGGGAAATGACATTATGTACCTCATTCTCCGGGATGCAGTGATCAGGGATGCATCGTCTGATCACTGCATCCGCACATAGCTTATACAAGAAAGGATCCTCCCAAAAATGTCTCTTGGCCTCATAAAGGAATTTCTTCTTTTGTTGAGACGAGTAACCGTGAGGCATTGTACCTTTGGACAGAAAATTAGCTAAATCAGCATACCAAGGTGACTCAATTTTCGAAAGAGCTAATAAATGTTCATCAGGGAAAGAATCATCAAAAAGGAGGTCGTCTCCGTCCCCATTATCAAGGAGGAGGCAAGAGAGATGGTTTGCAACGACATTTTCAATCTCCTTCGTGTCCTTTATTTCGATGTCATAATCCTGCAACTAAAGGATCCAATGAATCAACCATGGCTTGGCATGACTTTTTCTTATTAAATATTTAAATGTCGCATGATCTGTATGAATTATTACTTTCGAACCAACTAGGTAAGAATGAAACTTGTCTATTGCATAAACTACTGCTAGCATCTCTTTTTCAGTTGTGGCATAATTCATTTGAGCAGGGCTAAGAGTTTTACTAGAGTAATTAATAGCATGAAGTTTTATGTCCTTTCGTTGCCCCAAAATGGCTCCTACCGCATAGTCACTAGCATCGCACATAATTTCAAATGGTAGGGTCCAATCTAGGGGTTGCATAACAGGAGCAGAGATCAAAGCTTCCTTCAACCTGTTGAAAGCCTCAAGACAAGCATCAGTAAATACAAATGGGGCATCTTTAGCCAAAAGCTCGGTTAGAGGTTAAGAAATTTTTGAAAAGTCTTTAATGAATCGTCTATAAAATCCTACATGACCAAGAAAGCTCCGAACTCCTTTTATAGAGTTAGGAGGGGGTAGTCGCTCAATGACCTCTATCTTTGCTTTATCGATCTCAATACCCTTATGTGATACCACATGGCCTAGAACAACTCCCTGTTGTACCATAAAATAGCATTTTTCCCAGTTCAAAATTAAATTGACTTCTTGACATCTATGGAGCACCTTTTTCAAATTTTCAAGACATACATCAGAAGATGTTCCATAGACAGAGAAGTCATCTATAAAAACTTCCATTGAATTTTCAATGAGACTTGAGAAAATTGCCATCAGGCAACGCTGGAACGTGACTGGAGCACTACATAATCCAAATGGCATTCTTTGATAGGCGAAGGTGCCATAGGGACATGTGAATGTGGTCATTTCCTGATCACAAGGACGAATAGGAATTTGAAAGAAAGTTCAAGCATCTGATCAATAAAGGGAAGGGGGAAATGGTCCTTCCGGGTGGCCTTATTCAACCTTCTATAATCAATACACATTCGCCACCCTGTTACGGTCCTAGTGGCAACTGGCTTACCCTTGTCATTCTTGACAACGGTCATACCTCCTTTTTTAGGTACTACTTGTACACGGCTAACCCACTTACTAACTGAGATAGGGTAAATTATTCCTGCAGCAAGCAATTTAAGAACTTCTTTTTTAACTACCTCCAACATATTTGGATTAATCCTTCTTTGAGGTTCTATAGAGGAGGCATGATCGTCCTCAAGAATGATTTTATGCATACAAAAAGAGGGATTAATACCCTTAATATCATCAATGGTATACCCAATAACACTTTTATATTTTCTCAAAATAGTGAGCAATTGCTCTAATTTTGTGTCATTAAGCTTAGCGTTAACAATAACAAGATATGTATTATTAGGACCAAGGTATGCATATTTAAGAGTAGAGGGAAGGGGTTTCAACTCTACCTCGGGAGGCGTAGTACTCTCCCCAACACTCGATGCACTAAGGACTTCCTTGACTGGAGCGGTGGTTGGATTGGCTTTTGCCTCCTCTAGTAGCCTTGTGTACTCCCTTGTTTCCCAATCTTCATCATCCGCACTGCCCATTAACACCGTTTCAAGTGCATCATCCGTTTTAATCAAGGGAAGTTGCTCACGTTGTAAATCATCAAGGACGTCCACTTGACAAATAGTGTCTCCCATGGAAGGAGTTCCCATAGCATTCAAGAATGAATACTCCATTTTCTCATCTCCTACTTCAAAAGTGATTTTACCATTCTTCATATCAATGATTGCTCCCGCAGTAGCTAAGAATGGTCTACCAAGAATGATAAGAACATGTGCATCCTCCTCCATTTCCATCACAACAATATCACATGGAATAAAGAATTTTCCCACGCGTAGAGGAACATCTTCAAGTACACCCAAAGGAAACTTGACTGATCGATCCGCAAGTTATAGAGATATACGTGTAGGCTTTAGTTCACCCATTTGAAGTTTCTTGCAGATAGAGAGCGGCATAAGACTCACACTTGCACCAGGATCACATAATGCTCTATTGATTTCTATGTCTCCAAGTTTCATCGGAATTGAGTAGCTACTCGGATAGCCTAATTTCTTAGGAAGTGTATTTTACAAAATTACACTACACTCTGCAGTCAATGCAACCGTAGCATGCTCCTCTAGCTTCTTCTTTTTAGAGAGCATATCCTTTAAAAATTTTGCATAAGATGGCATCTCGGATATAGCATCTAGGAATGGAATGTTGATGAGGAGCTTTTTCAGAATATCAAGAAATTTCCCCTACTTTTTCTCCAGGTTAGCTTGAGCCAACCTTTGTGGAAAAGGAACCTGTGGCACATATGGAGCAGGTGGTGGTGGAGTCGATGCCTTTGGCTCTTCCTCAATTACACTACCATCAATCGCATTCTCAGTTGTGACTACTCCCTCAACAACCTCCTTTGATGGCTCCCTTACGGGAGGAATCTCCAATTGCTTTCCACTCCTCAAAGTCACGGCATTCATATGCCCCTTTTGTGGTTTCTCTGTTTGACCCGGAAAGGTACCTAGATTCCTTGAAGATTGGCCAACTTGATGAGCAAGTTGACTTATTTGATTTTCCATGAGCTTGTTCTGAGCTTGTAACTGTTGGATGGAATTGTTTGTTATGGTTATGAAGTTTTCCATCATTAGCTCAAGGTTAGATTTTTGAGGAGGTGGTTGCATAGGTTGTTGGACTGGAGGTGGCCTTACTTGGAAACCAGGTGGTGCATTATAATTGTTGGTTCAAGGTGTTGGTGGAGGCGGATTTTTTTGGGCTTGGTATTCTTGTAGGAGAAATTTGAATGATGTTTCCAACATTCATTATATGTGTTTGAATGAGGGTCATATAGCCTTTTGGATTTGAAGTGTAGAATGCATTGGCTTCCTCGATCGACATCTCATTCAAATTCTATGGATAATCAGGTGCAATGTGACCTTGTACATTACACATTTGACAAGTCTGAGGTGAGCAAGAAGATGATCCAGCTTGTAGTCTTTCGAACTTGCTTGTCAATGCCTGCATAGAGCTAGTCAAAAGAGTTAGAGCATCAACATCTATTTTCCTCCCTTCTTCACACTATTTTGGCCTTCTGGATGATAGTTGTCATTAGCCGCCATTTTCTCAATTAGCTCATTCACCTCAGTTGGGTTCTTAGTCTAGAGAGAACCCCCAGATGCAGCATCTATATAGATTCGGAACTCATGAGTTAAACCATTATAGAAGGTTTGGATAAACATCCATTCATAAATACCATGGTGAGGGCATTGTCTCTACAATCGCTTGAATCTCCTCCATGCGTCATATAGGGACTCATCATCTAACTGCCTGAAAGTAGATAACTCATTTTTAAACCTTGCAGTCTTTTCCTATCCCAAGAACTTGACTAGAAAAGCCTTCACCAGTTTATCCCATGTGT